AGTGATTTGCAATCTTGTGGGATACAAATCAACACACAAAACACAGTTATATTTCTATACACTGGTGATGAATAATCCCCCCCCAAAACCTGAGTAAACAATTCCATTTATAATAGCATCAAAAAGTATAAAAGCGTGGGGTTGGTCAAGTGGCTCAGTTGGTTAAGAGCGTGAGGTTGATTCCCACATGGGCGAGTGAGCTGTGCCTGAGCTGAGCTGCCACTGAGCTGCCAACAGGTGGCAGGATGGCTCAGCTGGTGAGAGCACGTGCTCCTAACAACAAGGTTGCCGGTTTGACTCCCACATGGGATGGTGGGCTATGTCCACCTGCAACTAAGATAGAACATGGCACCTTGAGCTGAGCTGCCCTGAGCTGCCTATGGGTGGCCGGGTGGAGATTTGACTTAGAGCTGAGTTAGCTGCGCCATCCACAACTAATATAAGGACAACAGCTTGACTGTTCCCCTTCCCCAATTTCCAAACACAGTTCCCCTTCCCCATTCCCCAATAAAAAAAATATTAAAAAAGAAAAGTATAAAATGCTTTGAGTAAATTTAACCATTGACATGAATGACTTTTACAGTGAAAAGCATAAAACATCGCTGAAGTAATTTAAAAATATCAAAAAATGGAAATACAGCTTGTGTTCATAGACAGGAAGAATTAATATTGTTAAGATGCCAAAAGTACCTAAAGCAATTACAGATTCAATAACATCTCTATTGAAATCCCAGTAGAATCTTTTGAAGAAATAGAAATGCCTATTTTGAAGTTCATGCAAAAAATAGAGGTACCCCAAGTAATGAAACAATTTGGAAAATGAAGAACATAGTTGGAGGACGCACACTTTCTTATTTAAAAAGTTACTACAGAGCCGGCCGAGTGGCGCGATGGTTAAGTGCTGGCATGGGACGCCAGAAGGCCATGGTTCGGATCCCACATATGAGGGCCAGTGACACTGCCCTCCACAGCTAAGATGCTGAACAACAGCTCAACCTGGAGCTGGGTTACCATGAGTCGCCGGCGACAGTGTAGGCTGCAGCCCCTGTGGCAGTGGGTTGCCATGGGCTACCCTGTGTAGCCAGCAGCCGCAGTAAGCGGCCGTCCAGAAGCTGGCGACTGATCTGCCTCGCCGGGAAGAGCGCAATGATGGTGTCAACTTGGGCCAGTGAAGCAACGTCCTCCACAACTAGACTGAAGAACAAAA